AATTATAAACATCAAAATCAGGGCTGAGGTTTCCTCTGGAAAGGACAGAAGAGAATGAAACCAGGGAGAGCTGCCTTGGGGTCTCAAGTTTGGAAGGTTCTATTCATTTAAGAAACAAAATACAAATGCCAAGGGTCCTTGTAGGACAAAATGCTACAATTTCACAACCACTAGGGTTGGGACAAGGCTGCTATTTATATTATGCCCTTGGATTTTGTGCAGGCCAGAAACATATTAGCGTGGCCCATAGCATGCCCTTGATGAATACTATTATTATCATTATAACGTTGCTCAGGTCCTGGTGAAGCTTGTAAGGTTCTGGTCAAAGCTTCCCAGGGACTGAAGGCAGTTTGACCTTAATCAATTCTAGAATGGCTGTCAGCCAACCTCGGTTCTCTGCCTGTGATGCAACGGAGGTGTCAACTAACCTTATCGTGATCATCTTTTCACAATATACATCTGTATTGAATCAGAACAAAAGAAAGAACACTCTGCAATGTATTAGAATTAAAGATTTTTTTAAAAGGAGTAAAAGAGCATTGAAAAAAGTTCATACAACAATCATTCAATGCCTTCCTACTAGGAAAGCAGTTTTATCTGTGCACGCTTTAAGTTAAATGGTCTTCAAGAATGTACTCGGGCTCCCCAGGTGGCTCAGGGTAAAGAATCCACCTGCCCATGCAGCAGATGCCTGCATCTGGGAAGATCCCCTGTGTTAGGAAGATCACCTGGAGGAGGAAATGGCAATCCACTCCAGTATTCCTGCCGGGAGAATCCCATGGACAGAGGAGCCTGGCAGGCTACAGTCCATGGAATCACGAGAGTTGGACACGACTGAGTGAGCACACAGGTGCACAAGAACCTGTATATAAAAGGGAGCTAACTGAGCAAGATCACCCAGATACTAGGTGGAATGTCTAAGAACTGCTGGCCTGACTGCTAATCTCATGCTTTGGTCCTGCTTGGCCATTTCATGGTGGGGAGCAGGGGTTCTCTCTTGATATGATCAGCCTCAGAGGGGGCTGCAGAATCCTGTCTCCTGTGGTGGATCCTGGCCTCACTGTTCCAGAGCATAGACGAGGACTGAACCCATCCCACCACAATTCTAGTCGGTAAGACTGGCTTATTATATATCTTTAAAGATGCCTCCTGTATTTTTTTTTCTTTCAGTTACAGCTCAAGCAAGCAGAATTTCATTAAACTGGCAGCAGATAGGACACCCGTGGAATACGAGGGTGGGCTGACCTCAAAGGAGTGGCCCCTCATGTCATTTTGATCAAAAGCCAGGCTTGGGAACCACTGCTGACAATCACAGGCAGCAACAGACAGGCATGAAGAAGGTCACGTCACCTTCAGATCTGCGTGTTAGAAAGCAGGATCCAGAAGCCATGAGGAGGTGACATCAGTGCTGATGGAAGCAAGAGTAATAACATCCAACCTTCTTGATATTAAGAACTTTACATGCGGGACTTCCCTGGTAGCACAGGAATTGAGAATCCACATGCCAAGATGCCAATGCAGGGGACGTGGGTTCGATGCCTGGTTGGGGAGCTAAAATCCCACATGCCTCGGGGCAAACCTGTGCTTTACAACAAGAGAAGCCTGAGAACTGCAACTAGAGAGAAGCCCCCAGGCGCCTCAACTAGAGAAAGCCCACCCACCCCCTCCCCCCCACAATGAAGACCCAGTGCAGCCAAAGGAAAATAAAAAAACTTTACATGCACTATTTCACTTAGATCTTCTGATCATTTGTAAGGCAGGTATTTATATCCCTACAATGCAAAGGAAATCGAGGTTCAGAGACGCCTAAGGTCAAATTACCCGAAGAGTCAGAACTGCAATTCCAGCCCAGGTCTCTTTTATAGCTTTGTATTTTAGGGGAACACATTCAGTTTGTGAAATTAGGAAGAAAAATCAAAGTCCCTAAATATCTTCAGCTTGTCTTGATTAAACTGAGAGGGGGAAACAGAAAATCGCTGTTAGAACACTGCAGAAGTCACTGTCACAGGCAATATCCACTGATGGATGTGAAAATTAGTAGAAGAACCAGAAAGTGAGGAAGTGTTCATAAAACAAAAGGATGGGGCCCAAGGCAGGAGACATAAGAGAGACACAGGTTTGATTCCTGGATTGGGAAGATCCCCTGGAGGAGGGCATGGCAACCCATTCCAGGACTCTTGCCTAAAGAGCCCAATGGGCAGAGGAGCCTGCTGGGCCACAGGCCACGGGGTCACAGAGAGTTGGACACAACTGAAGCGAAAGCATGTATTCACTATGCATTTTATATAAAGGACTTGAGCATCCATGGATTTTGGCCCGGGGATGCAGGAGAGTCCTAGAAACAATCCCTGAGGACACCATGGGAGGACCATACCTACTGTGACTCTGATGATGAACCATCTAGAGTTATTCTGCATCTTCTCATGGTAAAGTTTCTAAATCTTCTTACTGAAATAGGCAGAAGATTTTTTTTGTGTATCAAAATATGCTTTAGTGGTTCCAATGATGACAGAAAGCCTATAACACTGTGACCATTAAAAAAAAGTTTGTCAAAGGAAATCATGAATGCTGAGCTAACTCCACTGTGCACGAGAGAAGGTGTCATGGATAAGCTTGTACAATGAGATAGATACATGGGTATTTATTGTTACAGTGTCTGTAATGGCAAAAAAAAAAGTAGAAATAATCTAAAAATCCATTAACAAGAGTATGAATAAGTAATATCAGTATTCAAAGAACAGAACACTCTATAGCTGTCCAAAAGAACTGAAAGTGTTAGTTGCTCAGTCGTGTCCGACTCAAGGACTATAGCCCACCAGGCTCCTCTGTCCATGGAATTTTCCAGGCAAGAATACTGGGGTGGGTTGCCATTCCCTTCTCTAGGGGATCTTCCTGACTCAGTGATCAAACCCTGGTCTCCTGCATTGTCAGGCAGATTCTTTGCTGCCTGAGCTACCACAGAAGCCCCAAAAGATGTAGATGTAGAATGAGATGTAGATGTCTAGTTCTTGAAGATCTCATGAATAACAGTGAGTTAGAAAAATCAGTTGGAGATGGATACACACGATCTAAAATATTAACATAAAAACATCTGTATAATAGTACCAACACCATGGAAATTATAAACATCAAAATCAGGGCTGAGGTTTCCTCTGGAAAGGACAGAAGAGAATGAAACCAGGGAGAGCTGCCTTGGGGTCTCAAGTTTGGAAGGTTCTATTCATTTAAGAAACAAAATACAAATGCCAAGGGTCCTTGTAGGACAAAATGCTACAATTTCACAACCACTAGGGTTGGGACAAGGCTGCTATTTATATTATGCCCTTGGATTTTGTGCAGGCCAGAAACATATTATAACTTAAAAATCATCAGCAGCCCTGGTGATGAATTGAACATGTGGGTGGTAAGAGAGAGGGTTCTTGGATAGTTCCCAAGGTTCTGCCTCTGATGACGGAGTAGCACCATTTGTCAAGATCAGCACCATAGGAGAATTGCCATCTTTAAGCAATCACCTCATCATATAAATCAGAAAAAAAGAGGGGAGTTAACCTAATTCAAACCATGATCCAAGGTAACAAAGGAACTTTATCTTCAGAATAGAACTAGGGAAGTGATCTCAGCATGGCTGTCAAGAGTACGCAATTCTGAGCCCTGGCCCAAACACTCTTGTACAAATGACCTAAGGTTCTCTCTTTCTGTCTTTGCTGGATACACAGAAATCATCATGTAGGCTGAGGAAAGTAAAATGGATTATTTAATAATTACATAAAAGCTGAATGTAAAAACTCACGTTAAACCAATAGAAACTCCTCAATGTTTTTCAAGAAAACTGAAAAAATGGTTAGTTGAAGGAGTTTACATTAAATACGTGAAATATGAAGGGAAAATGCAGTAGCATGTAAACCTTGATAAGGAATTGCTACAAAAAAAAAAGAGAGAGAGAGAGAATTGTCACATCTTGTTTGCTGCCAGATGGGAAGAACTACTTTGAAAAAAGCAACTACAATCACAGAATTATAGAGTTGTGAATATGAAAGAGACTGCAGACATAATCTTCCGGGGTCCAGCCTCGGCAGGATCCAGGGGGTACCCTCAGGATGAATGGCGTCGGTGAGAGAAGACACGTGAGACCAGCCTTGATAGGGCCAAGTCTGCGAGGGAGAGAGAGAGAGAGAGAGACAGAGAGTGACCAGACGGGGGGTGCAGCAGGGTCTGGCAATGTTTTATTTTTTACCATAGCTTTTATATTCTAAGTTAGTATATTTTTAAGGGGAAGATAGTTTAATATTACATCAGCTTGTCCTACACGAAACCAGGGTGTTTTCTGCATACTTCTTTGTGAGAGCCGTTGTACATTATCTTCTGGCCTTGGGGCCTATTGACATTTTATGACCTAGGTGAATGCAAAGCTGTTTTCTGTAATCTATTCTTTAATGAACACAAGGTCAGTCCTTTTGCAGAAGTTATCAGTTAAATTTATCCAAAAGGTTTACCACACAAAGACTCTGCAGCTCTGGTGAGGCAGCCCCTGTTTAGCATTCCTGGTTAAAATTCACAATTCTAAACTCTTATTTTTCTAAATCTTTAACTACAACCACTTTTAGAATAAATTTTTGTGTTCTCTAATAGGGCTTCCTCACCCCTGAAGGGCTCTGTGCCTATTACGGCCTTTTGTGTGATCAGGTTCTTTATGCTGTTTATGATTAAGGTGTTGTGAGCAGTCATGTGCATTAGTACACATTTGCCAAGCAGGCTAGAATGCCAGCAAAGGGGTCTAAATTGAAACACTCCTTTCATCCTGGATAATCTTATAGGATACCACATACCTTATAGGATACCACATATACCACATAGGGGGACATATTGATTAAAGTTCTAAGTTGATTCTGTTTGGAGAGAGATCAGGGAAGGCCTTCTGCCTGTGTCACAGAAATTAGGGAGTAGTCTAATACAGCAAGCATCAGAAAGACAGAGATCATCTTTAATTGAGTGCTGGGGCAGCTTTTCGAAATCCCTGAAGTCCTGATCTGCCTTGCCTGTCCGGTCTTCTCCTCATGACCTTGACATGGGTGGAATCTCGTGTGCGGCTCCCGGCAATAGTCTAGTGGTAATCTGTTCATTTTGGAGAAGAGAAAGCTGCATGTCAAATAGGGAAAGGAATGAAAGATCACAAAGATCACTCATAAAATAATGAGTCCAGAGTAGGTATCATCTCCCATAATAATGCTTTTCAAAATTTCAACTTCATTTATTCCACCTCTCTACACAGCCCACCCCCTTTCATGGTTTATTTGCCTGTAATAGATTTCCTTCCTGCTTGTAATGGTCCACAGGTGCTTTGAAACCCTTGAGGCCAGCTATATTTGGGAGTTGAGCAGTTTTCTGGTTTGAAAAGGTAACATGGTGCATGTAGAGTATGTCATATAGACTCCAGCAGCATCCGAGGCGTCACCCCATCATCAAATCTGTCAATACATCTACAGGAAAATGAATGTGCGTTCACACTGAGTGGGATTAAAGGAAAGACCACAAATAGCCTCCCATTGGAACAACAGACTGGTTCCAAATAGGAAAAGGAATATGTCAAGGCTGTATATTGTCACCCTGACTATTTAACCTATATGCAGAGTACATCATGAGAAACGCTGGGCTGGAGGAAGCACAAGCTGGAATCAAGATTGCCAGGAGAAATATCAATAACCTCAGATATGCAGATGACACCACCCTTATGGCAGAAAGTGAAGAAGAACTAAAGAGCCTCTTGATGAAAGTGAAAGAGGAGAGTGAAAAAGTTGGCTTAAAGCTCAACATTCAGAAAACTAAGATCATGGCATCTGGTCCCATCACTTCATGGCAAATAGATGGGGAAACAGTGGAAACAGTGGCTGACTTTATTTTTCTGGGCTCCAAAATCACTACAGATGGTGACTGCAGCAATGGAATTAAAAGACGCTTACTACTTGGAAGAAAAGTTATGACCAACCTAGACAGCACATTAAAAAGCAGAGTCATTACTTTGCCAACAAAGGTCCATCTAGTCAGGGCTATGGTTTTTCCAGTAGTCATGTATGGATGTGAGAGTTGGACTATAAAGAAAGCTGAGCGCTGAAGAATTGACGCTTTAGAACTATGGTGTTGGAGAAGACTCTTAAGAGTCCCTTGGACTGCAAGGAGATCCAACCAGTCCATCCTAAGGAGATCAGTCCTGGGTGTTCATTGGAAGGACTGATTTTGAAGCTGAGACTCCAATACTTTGGCAACCTGATGAGAAGAGCTGACTCATTGGAAAAGACTCTGGTGCTGGGAAAGATTGAGGGCAAGAGGAAAAGGGGATGACAGAGGATGAGATGATTGGATGGCATCACTGACTCAATGGACATGGGTTTGGGTGGACTCTGGGAGTTGGTGATGGAGAGGGAGGCCTGGCGTGCTGTGGTTCATGGGGTCACAAAGAGTCAGACACGACTGAGCAACTGAACTGAACTGAATTGAATTGAGATTAAGATGAGTGTATGCCATCCAGTGAGTTCAGATAAGATTAGGATTTTCCTCAAGTTATCAAAATCTTCATGCTTTCAGAGCTTTTTGAATTTCAGAATTGTGGATAATGACATAAGCTTTGGGAGAAAACTCTAACTGTATCAGGTGAAGATATATACTTTGCCCTTTGTCTATACAGCATGGTGTGGCCGAGTCTATGTGCAGTATTGTTAGAAAGACAGAACAGAAGGGGTGGAGCCAGTCCCACTTCAGCTTTGGGTCCTTGCCAGCTCCATTTCTAGTCCACAGAATCCTTTCAATGAACCCCCAGCTTCATAAGGGGGTGGGAGTGAGGTGGATCTTTACACCAACAGCCATCAGTAAGACTACTAGTTGCCAAGTCACAAAAAGTACCTCTTTCTTTTTTAAGACTTTTTTTTTTTTAATGTGGAGCATTTTTTAAGTCTTTTATTGATTTTGTTACAATACAGTTTCTGTTTTTTATGTTTTGGGTTTTTCCAGCCACAAGGCAGGTAGGATCCTAGCTCCCCGGGGTTGAACCCACACCCCCTGCATTGGAAGGCACAGGACCACCAGGAAAGTCCTAGTATCTGTTTTCAAACCAGAACCTCACTACTGGATTCCAGAAAGAAGTCTCCAGTCTCCCTTCTTGAAAAATTTTAACTAATGTTAATGATGCATCTGCCTTAACTGGGTCAGGTGGAACCAGAAGTGGCCCGATTCACCACGGAAGATATTTACTAGACCTTTGCTTATCCAGGCAGGGAAGTTTGGTCTTGGTTTGACCCAAGCTCTTCCCTGACTGCAAGAGGCTGACCTCAAACGTCCAGTTATTGGGAGTCTGTTCAATGAAGAGATGCAAGGATTGAAGCAATCTGCAAATAAGAATTCATTACAGAGACAATTTATCTTCTTGAAAACAGTGACTAATTTTGAACACCAAATGCTGTTATTATGCAAAATATGTGCAGCACTCTAACCTCATGCTATAAAAGAACTAAATGTACATATCACAGAGAATGTGTATTTCAAGTCAATATATGCAGCCTGTAACTGAAGTTTAATTTTAAATCTGGTTATAGAAGTATAGCCAACACAATCTACAGAGTTCATTCAACCTTATCAGTTAATTGAAGTAGCCTCTTGATCAAGAACACACCATTTACCAATAAAGTAAATGTATTTTACTTAAAAGAAGGAAGAAGCACAGTCAACAAAACCTTTAAAGAGCCTGATAGGGATGTCATTTCTAGGAAGATGATGAACCAAGACTGATCTGCCTGGTGAAAACAACTAAAATGCCAAGTGATTTCATAGTGGAGACCCTTTCACCTCTTCAAAACACATAAAGTGAAAGTCGTTCAGTCATGTCCAACTCTTTGCGACCTCACGGACTATACAGTCCATGGAATTCTCCAGGCCAGAATGCTGGAGTGGGTAGCCATTGCCCTCTCCAGGGGATGTTCCCAACCCAGGGATTGAACCCAGGTCTCCTGCATTGCAGGCAGATTCTTTCTCAGCTGAGCCACCAGGGAAGCCCAGAAAACACATAAGCAATATGACAAATCCCTATTAGTAACTGTGGTTTGGGGGCCAGTTCTTCCAGATTTGAGTCAAAATCTCTGCATGAGTATAACAGGAGGTGAGGCGGGCATGAGTTATTATCCAATAAACCCTCGCGTCTCTGAGATTCACCACAGAGGGTGCTGGGCTAAAGTCACCCGGCTTCTTTCCTCCTGGGCCCTGCCTGCAGATCTGGTCTCGCATGATCTCCATACAAGACATTTTACCTCATAGAAAGCAACCTCTTTACTACAGAAGTTGCACTTTTTAAACTAGGAGATGAAAAATAAATAAATAAACTAGGAGATGTCGGGAGCAAATCTTATGTCAGGAAACCCAGCACTCTCTAACAGAGAAAACATGCCCGGTTCCCATTTCAGAATAATATTGTTGAACACATGGTCGCAGTGGGGCTTGTCTGAGTGAGCAGGGGCTTGTTTTAGGCCCTACGTGACAGCACTTGAAATCTCTGGGATTCTATGTTTTTACACAGAATCAGTTCTAACAACTTATCGAGCTTTATCTCCACAAAGTTTACCCTAAGGCAGAAAGACCGAGAAGTTTTGTTTGTTTGTTTAAGGATAAGCTGCCAAGGGCTAAGTAAAATGGACCTTTGCTTTGAGAGGCAACGATGACTACGGAAAAGGGAGCTGTGGGTGATGGGGAGGGCTGTTGGGTGAGGTCTGCACCGAGGCTGAGCGCCGGACTCGCCCCCTTCTCTGTCCACCTGTGAGGTCTGCCCTGGATACCACTTTAAAACACAAACAGGATTTCATCTGTTTATACCCACAAATGGGGAAAATGGCCTCAGTTCTTCAAAGAGCTGTCTCCCTCTAGTGGCCAAAGTGTTTTTTGTTTTTTTTTTTTTAAAGCCTCAAGCCTCCAAAGGAGCCTGGATCTGCTAAGAATATAAAACATCTACATTTTTTGTGGGGAGTATGTAAATAATCCTTGAATTTGGAAACATCACTATGGTATATAATAAGTTCTCTTACTAGAAATCCTGGAATAATAATGCCAATTTCAAAGGGTTATTGTGAAGAAATATCTTGTTGCTATTCAGCTGTTCAGTCGTGTCCAACTCTTTGTGACCCCATGGACTGCAGCACGCCATGTTTCCCTGTCCTTCACCATGTCCTGGAGTTTGCTTAAACTCATGCCCACTGAGTCTGTGATGGCAACCAACCATGTCACCCTCTGTCGAAGTATCTGAGGATCATCAAATGAGATCAACAAAGGAGCCCTGCTTTGGTTTGGCAACTGGAGGCTGGTGAGGCTCTCTCACTAGCCAGGCGCTGGCTTTGGCTCAGGAGCTCAGAAGCCCAAGAGCAAACAGCCATATGTCATGAACCTTCATGAGCACTTCCAAATAGTTGAAACCAAGAACCTTCAAATGATGAGGCAAGACTATGAACGTCAAGGTCAGCTGTGGGGACTGCTCCTGACAGGCCGGGATGCCCTGTGATAGGCAGAACAGGTCGGTAGCGCTAGTGGTAAAAAATCCTCCTGCCAACGCAAAAGACGCAGGAGACTCAGGTTCGATCCCTGGGTTGGGAAGATCCCCTGGAGGAGGAAATGGCAACCCACTCCAGTATCCTTGCCCGGGAAATCCCATGGACAGAGGAGCCCGGTGGGCTACAGTCCACGGGGTTGCAAAGAGTCAGACACGACTTAGCACTCACCAGCACACAGCCGGGAGCCCAGTCCTTCCTGCCCAGGAGAAAAAAGGTGGGTGTTCCAGACAACTCCCACCCGGCTCAAGGCTGCACTTCCTTTCAGCTTCTGCTGCTCCAGCTGGACGGCAGCCACCACAGGCCCACAGGTTGACACGCGCTCCCGGAGGGAAGGTGTGAGTACACGCGCCCCCACCACTGCCAGGCTTTGGGAAACCAGGCTCAAGCTGCCGAGGCTGCCGCGCCATGGTCATGGCTCCCACGGGGCGCCAGGCGGTGCCGCCGCCAAGCCACATCACCGTTTCCACTTTCTTAGCTGTGTCTGCAAAAACAGGCAGGCCCTGGGCCTGCAAAGTGTGATACTGATTTTCACAAAACCCCAAAGACCCCCAAATCCCTAGCCTGTGCTGACTAATGGTTTCTTACGGGTGATGCTGTTCTATGCTTAGTTGCTCAGTCATGTCCGACTCTTTTGCGACCCTATGGACTGTAGTCCGCCAGGTCCTCTGTCCATGGGATTCTCCAGGCAAGAATACTGGAGTGGGTTGCCATGCCCTCCTCCAGGGGATCTTCCCTACCCAGGGATGGAACCCAGGTGTCCCGCATCGCAGGCACATTCTTTACCGCCTGAGGCACCAGTGAGGCCCATCTTAAGAGTGATACGTTTCCTTAGTGATTTACAACACCTTTCATTCTCAGAGCTGGTCCTGCATCTGCCCCCACCCCTAGTGCACATGAGGCTGCTACAGGGTCTCCCTCATGATTTTTATGGGGAGCCGCTGCCATTCACTTTGGCTGGGTCTTTTGTGGAGGGCTTTACCGTCGAAATTCTCACTCTGCCTGAACCATCAGTAAATACCCTTTTTGGGCTTCATTCCAGGCTTAAAAAACAGTGTGGGTAATTTTCTTCCTGAGTTTGATTCAGCAGTATCTTGTTTCTATGGAAACCCAGGCTGCTCCAGAAGCCCAATTCTAACTTCCTATTGCCCAGCCCCGCATTTCACCTGCGATTTTAAAGTTGACTTTCACCTTCCCCGTGTATTAACCTTTGACTTTCAGAAGCTGAAGTAGCTCTGTGGAATGCATACGATCCAAGTGCAGAAAACTCAGAGAGAGCGGAGTCCAAAGGAGCCATTTTACACTGTGCGGTCTTCAGAAACCGAGGCCCGCTCAGTCGTGAAGACAAACATGGCGGATTCTCCGAGAAGACGGAGCGCAGCTGTGACCAAGATGGCCGGTCGATCGCAGCGTGCCGGGATTGATTGGTAATGTCTGTCACAGGCATGGGAGAGGCCGTGGGGGCGCACGCTCCCCCTGAATTAAACACCGTCTACTTCAGAGCAAAGCAGCATTTCAGGCTGCCAGTCACCGAGGCTCCTAGAAGCTCAGATCCAGAGGTTCAGGGGTCAAGCAGGAAGGTTGCTGGAGTCACTTCTCATCCACCCAGGGCACAAACAGCCTTCTTGAGTCCAGTTCCTTGGGGTTGGGGCACTAACACCCCATTCCTTTCATCTGGATCAAGCACTTTGATATAAACCTTAAGCACTGGCCCTGTCCTGCATAGAGCAGGGGCAGGGAGTATCTGATTTGCCCTTCCCGGAACTGGAGATTCCAGGACTCAATCGAGGAGGTTATCGTTGTTGGTGCAGGAGGAAAGCTGGCCTGAAGCCGGCTTAGGCGAAGCCCCGGACTATCCTTGGGAGGGGCTGCGGGGTGGGGGTGTGTGGCAGTGATCACCTCAGTGCACCCCGGGAGGGGCAAGATGCCACCGGGTCCAGCGTGGACCATCCACGCAGGCCTCTCCCACCCGCTCTCTGAGAGTCTCATCACTCTGTGTTTCCAGATTCTCCCACGGGCTCCGCCGGAGAACCAACCTGCTGCCTCAGCACTGAGCATGTAACTCCCCATGAGCAAGACTGCCTTCTTGCTTACACTCAGTAAGTTTGGTGGGGCTGGCTGTTTGCTCACTTTCATCTTAATTCTCTGCCCCAAATTGAATGCTGTCAGTCTTGGCTTGACTGCAGCTAGTAACAGAAAACCAGTTACTTTCTTCAACTCACTATTCAATATTAATGGACTCTCGAGAATGGAATAGCAACTTACTCCAGTATTCTTGCCTGGAGAACTCCTGGACAGGGGAGCCTGGTGGGCCCCAGTCTATAGGGTCGTGGAGGACTAGACAAGGATAAAAGCAGAGACTCCTTAACATTTGACAGATTATAACTCCATTTGAAACAAAAAAGCATTTAAATTAAATTCATTTAGTAGGTTTATAATTATTGTCTAAATAAACAGACATTTCCTAATGAAGAGGGCACATTTTACATATATGTCTAATATCGAATCAATGAATGCCAAAGTAAAGGTCACTTGGTCACTACTTTTGGGAGGACTTTTTTAAAGTGTTGTATTATGGTCACTGATAGGAGGGACATTTAACCATAGACCTCTTGAACCTGAAAAACATTCATAATCTTTGGCCCAACTGTCTTCTCTCTAGGAATTCAATCTAAGGAAATAATTAGAAACAGAAAAGATTTATGTTTAGATATGTTCACATCAGTGTGGTCTATTACAGCAAAAATATTGGTTAGAAAATTACATTTTATCAATAGAATTGAATATGAGAAACCATTAACTATTATTTTTCAAAACTTAATGTTTTGGGAATATACAATATAATGTTTATTGCTAGGAGCCGGCACACGAGATCCCACCCATGACAAGGTCACGAGGAGAAAGGCTGACGGGCAAGGTGGATCAGGTTTTCAGGGATTCTGAAAAGCTGGCCCTGGCGCTCACCTTAAAGATGGTATCTGTCTTTCTGATGCTTGCTTCAATAGACTACTCCCTAATTTCTGTGACATAGGCAGAAGGCCTTCCTTGATCTCTTTCCAAATAAGAATCAGTTTAGAACTTTAATCAGTAAGTTTCCCGGGTGGTGATGTTTTGTGAGATTATCCAGGGTGAAAGGAGTGTTTTAATTTAAACTCCTTTGCTGGTATTTTAGTTTGTTTGGCAAATGCATTTATGCCCTTGGTACTAATATGCATGATTGCTTATAATATCCTAATCATAAAATAACATAAAGAACCTGATCATATAAAGGCCCTAATAGAGCCCTTCGGGGAGTGAGGAAGCCGTATTAGAAAATATAAGAAAAATTATTCTAAAGGTGGTCATTGGGTTAACATCTGCTTGCTGTGTTTTTGCTCTTAATGTGCTAAAGTTGTGTTATAGAAGCCATTGTTAATATAGTTATAGATCTAGAAAAATAAGAGCTTAGCCCTAGTGTGGTAACAATGAAACGGTTGTTAATTATTAGCCAGGAGTGCTAGGCAGAAGCTGCCTCACCAAAGTTGCAGAGTCTGTGTGGGGTAAACTTCTTAGATAAATGCAACTGACAACTTCTGCAGAAGGATTAATTTTTGTGTTAACAAGGTTATACTTCTACTCTGTACTGTTGCCCTATGAGACTGCTACCTTTCAGTTAAGGTCACCATAGAAACGGAAAATAGGTTTACATTTATCTGACCTGCATAAAATGTTAATAGGCCCCAAGGCCAGAAGATAATGTACAAGATCCTCATAAACAAAGAAATATGTATAAAACACCCTGATTTCGTGAAGGACAAGCTGATGTAATGTTAAACTATCTTCCCCTTAGAAATGTACTAACTTAGGGTATAAAAGCTACGGTAAAAAATAAAGCATTGCCAGACCCTGCCAGACCCTGCTGCACCCCCCGTCTGGTCTCACACACACACTCTCTCTCTCTCTCTCTCTCTCTCCCCCTCGAAGACTTGGCCCTATCAAGGCTGGTCTCACATGTCTTCTCTCACCAACACCGTTCATCCTGAGGGTACCCCCTGGATCCTGCCGAGGCTGGACCCCGGCAGTTTATATAAATGAATAGGATGTAAAACTTTATAATAAAATGTCATGTGTAAGATACAGAATAAGTTTATTTTATATACTATATTTAATAATACATATTTGTGTCTTATTGTTGTTTAGTCACTAAGTTTTGTCCTGTAGCCCACCAGGCTCCTCTGTCCATGGGATTTCCCAGGCAAGAATACTGGAGTGCATTGCCATTTCCTTCTCCAGAGGATCTTCCTGACCCAGGGATCAAACCCACATCTTCTGCATTAGCAAGCAGATTCTTTATCACTGAGCCTCCTGGGAAACCCTACATTATGCATACATACATATATATCACATAGAAAAAAAGCTGTAAAGAAAAATACACTAAAATGCTAAAAATAGTTTTCTCCAGGTGGTGGGACTATGAGTGGTTTTTATTTTCTTAATATTGCTTTTTTGTGGATTCAGGTTTCTCATATAAGCCTGAAGATTTGCCAGGAATAAAAGAATATGCTGGCCAGGCTGACACAAGTTGGGTGTAGACACGTGTGACAATTATACATCCAATTCTAAAATTATAAACTAATATTACTTTCAGTTTCTTAAGATAAATATTTAGTGGCAGTAAAAAAAAAAAAAAGTCACGATGAGAGATGAGAGATTTGGCAAGTACAGAAATGTAAAAGTATCAAGGAAAGAATCATGGAGAATTCTACCAGTCAGAGAGAAGGGTCATCATCAGTATCCTGAGCTTGACCAAGCTTTGGCTCTGATCTGTGCCCTGGAGTCCTGTGTGTGCTGGGCAAATGCCTCAGGAGGTGTCACAGAGGAACGTGGGGACCAACCAGGTCCTCAGTCCAGTGGGGTGCTGAAACAGAACCCCCTCCCCCACTTGGGTCCATCCATTTGTACCTTAGACTGTACATTCCCCTTGAAGAAAGACTCCATGGAAAATTACAGAAATAACATTTGAATGCCTCCATATTAAACCTCTTCCCTGAAGCTAAATGTTTAGATTGCATCCAGTTTTCTCTAATGTGATGGAAGGTTGCATGAACAGCTTTGTATTGTAATCTTTGCCTATATTTCTGCCTCCATAATTGAAATTTCCAAGAAAAGAGTAATGATCATTTTCAGAGCTCTTGATGTTACCAGGTTGCCCCGAACAAGGTCAACCTGTTTATATTCCGATCCATCTGCCCAACCTGCTACACCCTTAGCTGAGCATATTTTTTTAATTGTTAATTTGACAGATTTTAAATATTTGTCCATTTAAAATCCTGGGTTTCTTCCCCCTTGGATACCTCTTCCAAAAAGTCTTCCAGCAGCAAAATCTGCTGCCCATGCCCGCCCTGTGAAGAGGACATGGGCGCCCCTCCCTAGAGTGACTGGAACTATCCAAGGAGGCTTGTGTTTGGACGTTTTCTCATGGTCCCAGGCCAGTCCCATGACTCCACCTCACAGCAAGCCCAGTTTGTGGAATAAGACTCCTCCCCCCGAGAAACGGCAGATGCCAAGGTCTGAAGTCCCTCTTCTTCCCAAACCCCTTCTGGACCCACAGAATCTCAGAAGCAGATGTTGCCCTAGACAGATTCGGCCTTCAGGCCTCTGGTTACATAGATAAGGGCTCTGAGCCCCGGTGGGGAAAACAAGTGTACAGTCAATGGAACAGCCAGCAAGAGACCCGGGGGTCTCTGCCCCGTATTCTTCCCACCACCAGCCTCCAACTGCCCTTCTATCTGCTGACACTCTGGGAAGGGTCTGTCTTTGTCCTACAGACGTAAGAACAACACGGAAGGGTTTCCCACCAGAGGGCGAAGGGAAGCTAAAATCTAGCGCAAGTACAGGCGTAGAACCTAACAGCAGAAAGAAAACAAATTCAGAGAGGCTTCCTGAACTGGCAGGTTCCTAGGATCCTAGCGGTCAGCCTTCGAATGGCCACTAGGTGGAGCTCTATTTTCAAAATAAAGCCTTAAGCCCTTGGCTCTGAGCTGGCTTTCCATTCAAACGGCCTTAGCCTGACAATGTCAATGGCTTATTGCAAGGATTTGCTCAACAAGCGCATTGGATCCCATACAGATTTTGTGCCAGTCTACAGTCTGTAAGGCGACCACGAGCTGAACTTTTTCCATTTTGGTCCCTAGATTATTGTCTTAAAATTAAATACAATGGAGATACACATATACATTTAAAAGAGACAGGGGAGTTATAAAACATGTGTTTATCTCAACAAAGATAATTTAAAACATATATTTAAAATATATTCTAAATATATATATTTAATATGTATTATGTAAGTATAATGTAAAATGCACATATATTTATTTTGTGTATAATGTATATTTATTTATTGTGTTTTATATATAATCACAGTTTACTCCCTAAGTCATGTCTCTTTTGAGACCCCTTGGACTGTAGCCTGTCAGGTTCCTCTGTCCATGGGATTCTCCAGGCAAGAATACTTGAGTGGGTTGCCATTTCCTTCTCCAGGGGATCTTCCCAGGGACCTAACCCGTGTCTCCTGCATTGGCAGGCAGGTTCTTTACCACAGAGCCACCTGGGAAACCCATATATTGTATATATTAAAGTCTCTTTCTGCTGTTGAGTGATAAATACATAATTTGTCACTTCAGTCATATATAAAACACCTGTTAAATGTATTCTATATTATATGTAATATGTTAAACATGTATTTTATATGATAAAACATTTTCAAATGTATATTTAGAGTTCTCTATGGCTCAGTGATAAATACAGATTTTATAACTCCTGTGGTTCTGTTTTCTCCATAATAATCACCAAAACCCCTAGGAGAGCAGAGTAGCCTTTTCATTAACTCATTCAAGGCTTTTAAAATTATGTTTCTCCAGCCCATATATGTTCAGAAATAGTTGAAAATAGAAAAGAAAAGGGGGGAGATTCATTTAAAGAGAAATAGGCATTTGCTGTTGGTTCTCCCTTAATCAGGAAAAAGAAAGCATAGAGGAAACTGAGACAGTCTACTGTAGCTATGAGAAGAGAGGTTTTTTTTTTTAATATTTATTTATTTATTTGGCTGTGTCAAGTCTTAGGTGAGGCATGCAGGATCTTCAGTTATGGCATATGGGCTCTAGCTCCCTGACCAGGGGTCGAACCCAGGCCCCCTGTATTGGGAGCTCGGAGCCTTAGCCATTGGACCACCAGGGAAGCCCGAGAAGAGAGGTTTTAAATAGTCTCAACAAAATATGAATATATTCATATATTTCTTCTAATTTCCTTTCATGCCAGTTCCTAACATATAGCTGATTGAGAAAAAGTATATATTTAATAATTATTTCTGCTGCTTTGAGGAAAATCATGTCAGTGTCTCACATAAAATAATGTTATAACATTAATATAATGTTGCTTTTAAATGAGACCTGTTTGGCAACCCTTAAATGTAGCTTTTCTCAATTTCCCAGGGAAAAACAAAATTTATACCACCACCAAAACTAGGATTGACAGATCATCTAATGAAAAGTGTAGACAAACTCCATGAATGGCATGGCAGGCAGAACTGGGTGGAGGCAACACCTACCTACAACAGTCTTCACCTCAAGCACGTCCAGGATTCAGTTCAGGAAACTGACAGCACATAAAAGACGTTGGAAGATATGTTGTATTAATATATCCCTGCAGTCTGCTCTCTCCTTCTGGGACCCAGGATCTGAACACTGCAACGACCAGAGAATTACACTGGAGTTCTTTGTGATTCCACTCCCATCCCAGTCCCCTTTTAATCTATATTCATTGAGAGATAGGAAGAACTTTAAAAAACAAAAAGCTTGTCAGAGAAAATAAAATATCATACATTAATGCATATATATGTAATCTTGATAAATGGTATAGATGATATTATTTGCAAAGCAGAAACAGAGACACAAACATAGAGAACGAACGCATGGATACCAAGGGGGAAATAGGGGTGGGATAAACTGGGAGGCTGGGATTCACATATACACACTACTATGTATGAAATATAACCAATATGAACCTACTACATAGCACAGGGAACTCTACTCAGCTCTGTGGTGACCTAAATAGGAAGGAAATCCAAAAACGAGGGGATGTATGTAAATGTATAGCTGATTCACTCTGCTGGACAGCAGAAGCTAACACAACATTGTAAAGCAACTAACTATACTACAATAAAAATTAATATTAATTTTAAAAATCCTGTGCAGAAATTAGAAGGGACTGGAAGTAGCTCATCACATTTCAGGAAGAACAGGCCCCACAAGTAAAGTGCTCCAAGTAACAGAAGAGTAGGAAATACACTGTATAACAATATAACAGAAACCTAAGTTTTCCATGCATTTCTTGGACACAGAATAACACATCAGAGAACCAAGTAGTTAAGGTAGGAGAAGTTGGCAGTCTGGTAAAACAGAGCTTCTATGGGTGAAATTCTGCCAGAAACTGAAAACAGGAACTCGTATTGTCCACCTATCCTCTGGCTATCGGTCTGAGAATGAGATTCCACACAAGTGAACATGACCGCAGGCAATCACCTGACCCTATCTCTTTACAAATACTAGTTCTATAGAGATGTCACTTCATTTAAGATAAAGCAATAAGGGGTGATGTGAAATGCTCCATTACATTTAAAAGAAAAGTTACACAATGAAAAATGTATATTACTAGTAAATTCTACCTAAATCCTGAATGTCTACAAAAATTGGGAAAGGTGAGTGAAAATTTTGACAGGGAGTGAAGATACTCTATGTGATTTGTTTTACATAATTGCTATGAAGAAAATGAATAGGGTGATGGTTTAAAGATTAGCAGGCAGAACTACTTAGATGAAATAGCCAGGGCATCTCTAAAGAGCTACAGTTCCTTGATTCTTCTGTAAGTGGAGCTGAGGTTCCAAAAGAAGGACAAGATATTAATATGTGGATCCAATTGTATTTAACTAGGTGCAGAACTGACCCAAATGGAATAAATAACAAGACACAACTGAAACCCATAACCAATAAAGAAATGGAAATTAAAGGCAATTTATTTCTTAACACAGCCTTATCTGGTATATAGATATTTTAAGAAGATAGATTAGGCATCTTATCCTTCATCTTATAATTAAAACAGGGTAACATTTAGTGGGGTTTCCCAGATAGTTCAGCAGTAAAGAATTTGCCTGCCAGTGCAGGAGATGTGGGTTCGATCCCTGGGTCTTGAAGATTCCCTGGAGGAGGAAATGGGGGTCTCAGAGTCAGACACGACCTAGCGACTGAGCACAACATTTGGTGAATATTTACAAAACGGTTAGTGTAGCATTCAAGTTAAATTGATACTTACTCTGTATCTTGTCATCATAGAGCCGCCGTGATTTTCTAAAGAAACATTTATGTCTTTATGCTATATACACCTTGAGTTACAGTAATATATACTGTATATTCATTGCACTTTCCTCTTTGAGTTGGCTGCTAAGAAGCTCAGAACCATCTTTGCGAACTAAAGTGCACATCAGGGAATCCCCATTTTCCACACCTGGGTCTCTAAATGTCCATTCATTTGCCTGATCAATATTTCTGCTGATGGCCACCTGCCCTCGCTCAGGCAGATTAAATACCAGTCTTCGGTCTGATATAATTGTCCCTTAGTGTTCATAGGGGACTGTTTCCATGACCCCGTTGGGTACCAAACTCCCAAGTTCAATGTGGCATCTCCCAAGAGAGAGGTGTAACATCATAGAGCTGTTGTCCCCGCAGTACCAAGAACTGTGCTAAGCACACAGTGGGAGCATTGTTTGATGAATGAACGAAGGAGGCAGCTAAGGGCTCTGGGGATGTTGCCACCATCATCACATTTCTAACACCCACCGGGGTTGCAGGACAATGCATATTGCTTTCTGGATGCCTCACAGGGGCATCAACAACGGGCAAATGTTTTCTAGAATCTCACCCCTCGTCCAACAAGTCTTTCAGTGAAATGAAATATTTCTTTGTGAATCTCTACTTTTGGGTGCCATCCAGTTCTCAATCAAGCCCAGACCAAAGCTTTGACTTTGGGATGTGTCAGAGCGGGAAGGAGCCCTTGTTGCTTACATGGCTTCCCATGCAGGTTTCCAGAAGAATCTGCACGCATGCCTGCTAGACGATTACCTTTCAGAGCACGCTGTTCCTCCAGCTCCACGGCTCGGTGGCGGCCGTAAAGCACGGCTGTCGTAAAGCATGGCGGTAGTAAGGGCAGGGTGAGTCTCCTCCTGTCCCTGGTGCTTTAGTTCAATTCCCCAGACAGACCTTCCCTGAACACTGAATGTGCACGAGGTCTTCCAGCGCAGAAATGAACATCCTGAGGGGTTGCTTAGGCTTGTAACTCCACCAGACGCTCCACCAAGCGCTTTCCCTGAAATCTTCTCATTTGGTCCTCATAAGCAACCCTCGTTATTAGCCCATTTCCCAGATGAGGAAACTAAGGCTTAGGAACATCACAAGTACTAATGAAGGAGTCCGGACATGAACACAAGTCTGCAGACACTAAAATTTGTTCTCTTAACTTTTAGAGAAAATTCCAGGTGAAGTGACAAGAATTACAGGTGCCTGGGTTGTGAGCTCTCTGGAAGAATCTTCATGTCCTTGTGAACATCTTGCACATCTGACTGGCTGGCAAAAAAAAAAAAAAATGTATCTGGCTTCTGCATGTTTTGTTGTAAGCATGCAGCATACCATCTATATTTAGCATCGATGAATGTTTGTGTCCCACGAATCTAAATATAATGTATTTTGTTTCTAAATTACAAACAACTAACTTACAAGGGGAATTTTGGTCTTTAGCCTGTTTATTAAATCAGGCACTTTCTGAACTTCTGTAAGAGGAGGAAAGGAATGAGTATTTATTAAATTCAATAAATGCTGATTATACATTTGGAGAAGGCAATGGCACCCCACTCCAGTACTCTTGCCTGGAAAATCCCATGGACGGAGGAGCCTGGTAGGCTGCAGCCCATGGGGTCGCTAAGAGTCAGACATGACTGAGCGACTTCACTTTCACTTCTCAGTTTCATGCATTGGAGAAGGAAATGGCAACCCACTCCAGTGTTCTTGCCTGGAGAATCCCAGGGACAGAGGAGCCTGGTGGGCTGCCGTCTACGGGGTCACACAGAGTCAGACACAACTGAAGTGACTTAGCAGCAGCAGCAGTATTATACATTACACACTTTACAGAATGAGTCCATCTAGTCCAGTAGCCCAAGGAGACAGGCTCTTCCCTCGGTTTATAGGTGAGGACATGGAAGCTTAGGCACACGAGTGGCAGAATCAAAATCCAGATCAGGCTCCAGTGCCAAAGCAGTCTGTTTCCATGGCTCCTCTGAGTTGGCTGGCATCTCCCTGCTCTGAGCTTCTGGGGTGGGCTGGAAAGCAGCCACAGCTCTCCCAGACACTCCCCCAGGAAGGAGGAGTCACGTGGTCAGGGTGCCCAGCACAGAATATCAGCTGTCTGTGCTCAGCGGGGCTGCTCTATTCAGAATCAGAGGGAACCACAGCTTGAAAAGCCCCTGTTGAAGATTGTCAATGTGATGGGGACCCCCCCAAGGTCAGTAATGAAGAATGTCTCCTGTAACACAACATTGTAAAGTAACTATAGTCCAATAAAAATTAAATTAACATAAAAGTCACTCCTGCTCCAATCTCTAATCAGGCTCCTCTGAGGCCTCTTCTCAATGAAGCCTCAACTTTGTCTTATAAAGACTTGAACAAAATACTAACCTAGTTTTTCACAGCTCAGGGCTGCATCCCTAGGTGACCCTAAACCCTCCTGCCCTTAAAATGCCAGCTTGAGAAAACTCAAGGCTAGCAAAAGAATTGGCTGTTCGAGCCAACAACCCAAGACGGGGTCCCTGGCTCCCCGCCTCTGCAGGACCCTGGAGGCTAACTTCGTTAAACGCCAGTTGACAACCCCAGATGAGTTTTGTTAACTGAAACAAATAAACAAACAAACAAACAAAACCATGCAGCCTGGAAATCGAGAGTTCTGTTTATTCGGCAGAAATCTTTAGGACTTCAGGCCCAGGAGACAGCATCTCAAGCAGCCCTGAAAGAACTGCTTGGAGGAGGCGAGTTGGGGAGCCAGGTTTTATAGAAGTTTTGAAACGAAGGGCAGGCAGTCTGAATGTCAAAAGATTATTATTAATTAAAGAAAACCAGATATCCCAAGTTAAGGAATTTAGTATTTTTCTATGTATGGGAAGATGCAAGAGTCTGGGCTCATATCAGATAGCTGATATGCACCTCAGCTATCTTGGGCCAGTATCCTGTGTTTTCACTTCCTGACTGTCCTCAGGGCTTACGATAGGGAGTGGCTGCAGTCTGATGGCTGCTAAAATGGCAGGCATTCTTTTCCTTCCTGAGTGTCCTCAGGGTTCACACACTCACATTGAAGGGCTGCCATCACTGATGACTGTGATGTCCTTGTTTACTGATGTGACAGGAAATATTCCTTTCCTTAGTTGCCGGAGCTGGCACACAAGATCCCACCCATGACAAGGTCACGAGGGAGAAAACCTGACAGGCAAGGCGGGTCAGGTTTTCAGGGATTCTGAAAAGCTGCCCCGGTGCTCACCGTAAAGATATCTGTCTTTCTGATGCCTGCCTCAATAGACTACTCCCTAATTTCTGTGACACAGGCAGAAGGCCTTCCCCGATCTCTTTCCAAATAAGAATCAATTTAGAACTTTAATCAGTAAGTTTCCCGGCTGGTGGTATCTTATGAGATTATCCAAAATGAAAGGAGTGTTTTAATTTAAACTACTTTGCTGGT